TGCTTCCTTACAAATCAGACTATACACGACAAATTCAAGAAGACAGTTCCCTGCCTTCCTATCTATAGTTTAGCTTACCTGAGTTGAGGACTATGCTTTTCTTCTTGTCTCTCTCCCTCACTTTTTTTTTTCCTTTTTTGAGACAGGATTTCATTATGTAGTTCAGGGTGGCCTTGAACTTACTGGGTAGCCCAGATTGGCCTCAAACTCAGGGTGATCTTCCTGTCTCAATCTCCCAAGTGCTGGGATTGCAGGTATGTGCCACCACACCTGATTTCCCCAGAGGAATTTAAGACAAATTCCTCTTTGTCTTTTGAATCCCTTCTCTTTCTTCAGATCTTTCCTTTCAGAAAGTTAGCTTCTTCTCTTGCCATATGTCTCTTCTCTCAATGTCACAGTATCTTTCCTCCATCCTTGTGAAACTCTACTTCTTCTACATGAAGAATAGTCCAGCAGTTATTCAATTTCCTTATTATTTCTTCTCTTTTAGTCCTTTCCAATCACTATTCTGTATCACTGAGATTACATCTCTTCCTCTGCTGTTCCACAGGATTGGTCCCACTACCTGTGTTGCTTGTCTCTTCTGCAGTAGTTTTCTTTGCTGCTTCCATTTCCTTAAAGATTTCTCCACCCTCAGCTATGTGATGCTGTGCTTTCCTGGATGCCACCTCTTAACTTCCTTCATGGATTTTTTCCCCCTTTCTGATACCTGTTTTAGTGTTCTTCAAGATTTTGTTCTGGCTATCGCATTTCTGTCTCCCGGGTTACCCTCTCTATGCTTGTGTGATGTTGAACATTTCTGGTTTAAATTTCCCGTGGAAATCTTTTTCCTGAGCACCAGAATTAACCTCACTTGGGATCACGATGTTCTTCAAACTCAATTTGTTCAATAATCAGAGGTCTAACAGTGCCTTCCTGGTCCTGATTTCATTACCTAATTCAGAAATGGAAAACCTTGGTGTTTCTGCTTTTCTTTTTAGCTCCATCAATCTAGTGCCACCAGCCATCTGTTTTTCTTCCATCTTGAGTCATCCACATGTTTAATTGCTAGTGCCAAGGATTTTTTTATTGATACAGTTTTTAAAAATTAGCAAATGCTTTTTTCTGTAGTTCACATTCTTCCATTGTACATAATAGTGGCTTTGATTTTGGTTTTTTTTGAATGAGGAGACTATAAAGCCACAAGCTATTTTCTTCAAAATGGAGAAAAATGTCAAGTATATAAGATGCTACAAGAAGATTGACGAGGACTGAGAAGGAATATATTTGACTTAGCAATTAAGGTGGCATTTGACCACCAAGTGAAATTTTGGATGTAGTGTGGTGAAGCCTTTCATATACCATACCTATTCTTCATTGGTGTGGTTGTTTCTGAGATAGCATCCACATGCTTGATTCATGACCACAATTCTGGTCAGAGAAGAATTGAGAACCAGAATTGTGGAAACTTATGAAACTTAGTTTGTTACCAGGGTCCTTGTCTCCCTTGTTCACTTCATTCAGTTAGTGACTTTCCTAGTGTCACCTCTCTGTTCTGTCTCATATCCCTTTGATTTCCTCCTCCTTCCCAAATCTGAATCTCAAGATGCTTTAGAAATCAGCTTTTTGTTATTCTCTTCTAAATCATTGTCAAGTTGTGAGAGCTCTTTGTAATTGAATTGCTAAAGCGTTCCTTTTCTATTAGCATGCTCTTACTTGGCAACACAGCAGTTTTTCTTTTTTTGGCCTGCTTTATCATTCTTCTACTTTGACACTGTTGGTCATCTTCTCCTTTGAAACATTCTTCACTTAACTCTTTGACCTTCATTTTTCTGATTTCCTTTGTTTCTTTCTTTTTTTTTTTTTTTTTTTTTGTACCAGGGATTGAACTCACAACCTTGCACTTGCCAAGGCAGGCGCTAATGCCACTGAGCTAAATCTCTGGCCCCAGGTTTTCTGATTTTCTTGCCACATCTTTGATGACTTTTTCTTGGTCTCGTTTGAGGTCTTCTATTTTTCTCCTCAATACATTTGACCTTTGGGTTCTGTCCTGTAGCTTAGTCTCTCTCAGAATTGTGTGTGGGCAGTCCCAGGCATATTTATGGTTTCAACTACTATCTATCTGTTGACTCCCAAATCTTTGTCTTTAGTGCAACTCTTTTACTGAGCACCAGGTCCATGTTTCTGTGTTCTCTAGATCCTCCACTTGGAACTTCCACAGAATTTTAAATACAATGAATTTGAAAGGGGACTCTTGTCTTCACTCTTAGACTTTGTCCTTTAATAGTCTTAATGCAAGGTGCCAGCAGTTGTTCATCATCCAGAGAAGACACCTAGGTGACTGGTGACTTTCTGTCTACCTCCTCATTGTGTCTACCTTTCTACTTTTTTTTTTTTTTGTATTGGGGATCAAACTCACTACTGCATGCTTGCAAGGCAAACACTTATGCCACTGAGCTAAATCTCCGACCCTACCTATCTATTTTCATTGGGTCACAGATTCTACTGCTAAAATCTACGTGAAGTCTGCCCCAAAGTCTGTGTTCACTATTTTAGTTTAGACTGTGTCATTTCTTCCTCATTACTTTGTTTCTTAATTACTCTCCCATTTTGCAGATGTTTCCTTCCTTTCTCCCTACTTTGAAGCATAAATACTCATAGCTAAAATTTGAGTGCTTATTATGTTTCATTTACATGTAAAATGTTTCCATGTTTCTCCTATAACAAACACAATGAATCATAATGCTTTTTATTTTGGAGTTGGACCTCATAAATAATAAGTGGAAAAACAAGAATTTGAAATCTTAAGCTATATACACCAGAACACATGATCTTATATGATTTGCTTTTATTTTACCCCCCACCTATCACCCCCGTTATCTTTGGGTGGCCTTTAAAATCTTTCTGAGCTGGCTCCTTTCTTTTTCCTCTCCTCTTACAATGAATGCATAGGTGATTTAGAATTTCAGGGCTTTTGAACTTGTTGATCTTCCTCAGAGATGTCATACTTTCTTACTCCTTTGCATGTTTGGACATGTTACAATCTTCCCTCTGCAGGGTAGATCCCTTCCTCTATCCTGACATCCGCCATCAGTCCCGTGACACCCTATAAGCACAACTGCCATATTTATATAAAACATTTACAAATATACATTCATTTTAGTATAGTTTTAGATTTACAGAATAGTTGGCATTGAGTACATAGTTCCCATAAAATCCATGCCTAATTTCCTTGTTAAAATGCCCTGTCACCATAGTATAATTGATACAACTAATAAATTAATGTTAGTATGTTACTATTGACTAAATTTTACTTCATTGGGATTTCACAGGTTATTCTCCACAGGTCTCTCCATTCCCCTCTCTCCTCCCCCACACCATTTTATCTGGGAATTAGTTTTTGTTTGTTTATTTATTTACTTATTTTGTGTAATATCCCTCAGTTTGAGGTTTGTCTGATATTTTTCTTGTGGTTAGAGGTGAAGCCATAAGTGAGGAGGAAGACCACAGAGGTGAAATGTTCTTCTCATATTGTATCAAGAGTAGCAACATGACCTGATATTGATGAAATTAACCTTGGTCAACTGCCTGAGGCAGTTAATCAGATTTCTTTTACTGTTACTTTCTGCTCTTTTCATTCTTGAGTCTTTGGAGGCAAACCTCCAAGTTTGGGGTAGTAAACTCTACCTTTGGGACAGGAGCATTATCAACATCAGTTTCTTAGAATTTCTCCTGTAAAGAAGGTTTGTTTTTTCTCCATTTATTTATTCATTAAGTCAGTTATATTAATGTAATTTATTTTATACTTTAAATTATTATCCAGTATTTTATTATTTATTTTGTTGCTCAAACTATTCCATCTTTGGCCATTGAGAGTTCTTTCAGGTTGTCTCCTTTTCATCGTCTCAGGCCTAGAATCAGCCGTTTCTTCAAAAAACTGTAGTTTTTTTGTTTTGTTTAATTTTTAATTGGAAAAAGATGCTAGAAGCAAAGCCCATGTGCTAGATGTGTAAGTTGTTATGAGTGTATCATTACTTCTATGCCTTTCAATAGACTGAACTAGAAATGTATATGCATATAAGCCCAAGCATATATAAATACAATTATTTGTTCATCTTTATTGTTTTAAGCTAGATATGAGTTCATACTGATATCTGTCATTCATTCTAACCTTGTCTCCTTGATAATCCATACATTTACCTCCTACTGTGAGAAGCTTGGCTCCCACCACCATGTATCCATCATGCTCTACTTTTAAACTTTGACTTTTTCCTACCTCCTTCATTAGTCTGTTAGTACCTTTGGCACTTAGTAAGTCTTTGTTGAATAAGCAATACATCTTGAAAAAGTTAGCGTTTTAGCAAAATCAGTTTAAATAAATTTTAATACATAAATTTGAAACAACTTTTAAACTAGTTTCTTACATAAGTGCTCTATTCGCTATAAAAATTACAATTTAGAAAACACGAACTGTAAGAAGAAAAAATAAAAGCATCTCTGACACCCAGGAATAAAACTTAGTATCTTGAAATATGGCATTTTAACATTTTTTATTTTATGTGGTTATATGAATGACACACTCTTTTAAAATAAGGATACATGCAACTTATATTTCACACCAGATAACCCTTTTTCCATGTTCATATGGATGCATTTACTCAGAATGTTTATGTTATATAGTTGTACCATGATTTAACCAATTCCCATTTTAAGATGTTTAACTTACTGATAATCTTTTGCTGTTCTAAACCCTAATGAATGTCGTCTCTTGGCATGCTGTTTCAACGGCTTCTTTTTAATATATTCCTGAAAGTAGAATTGCTGGATAAGGGCATTTTAAGGTTTTTAGTACATGTTTCTAGGGTGAAGTTTTTATATTGAGTATTTGCTTTTATATTGCTTGCCTTCAATGAAGTTCTCTCTCTTGAGATCTTGTGTTCTTCTTTTGGGATTATGATAAATAGTTTCTCTTTAAGGCCAGGAACTCACAACTGTTTGTGCTGATTTATTTACTTGCGCAGAGTATTGTGTCAAAGAACGCACTGCAGTATCGGGGAAATTCCCAGCATGATGCCCAGGAATTTCTGCTGTGGCTTTTGGACCGAGTTCATGAAGATCTTAATCATGCTGTAAAGCAGAGTGGCCAGCCTCCTCTGAAGGTGAGGACATGCGTTCCCCTGGACTAGTCAGGGAGTGAGCATCAGTAAACGAGTAAGAAAAGAGTAGAGCATCTTCTTCGAAACTTCTGCTGAGGACTTGTTGCTTTTAGTTAATAGAACAAAACTCATTAAATTCTTGGTAAGTATAAACTCAAAATGAATACTTGAAGGGATAGTTTACGTTAACTACTGCATTAGTAAGGTAAAGTATGAGAGATGTTGCCCCCTTGGATCGCATAGTCTAGTATGAGGGGAAACAATTGCTTTCTGTTCTAGTAAGGTGCATATTTTATAGGTCACTAGAATTAATACCCAATCAGAAAGGAAATATGTGGCTATCTCTACAGTTAGCACTGGATTTAAGCATAGGAACTGAGCCTTTAGAATGATCTTCCTGAGAAACATAATTCACACTCAGTTTTTATAATTGACCTAATATAATGAGTAAAGTAATTTATATGGAAAAATTAAGTTACTGCACTCTACAGCTTTTAAAATTTTGGTAATTCTGCTCTGCTTTAAGTTTTAAATTTCTAATTTTAATGAGTTGTTATTCTAATTCAAGTCCTTTAGTGCCTGAACATTGTTCTGTCATATGACCAAATATATATGACTGGGACTTCTGATGGTCAGACACAGTGCCTTATGTATCTTTGTATCCTAATGTTCTACACAGTGCTTTTGCGTCTGATAGATGACCCTCATAACTATTAATTGAAGGGACACAAAAAGGTTAATTAAAATGTGAAGTAGAGCATAATTAAACACCAGAGTGAATATCCGCACAGCTGGAGAATTTAGGCATAGGAAGAATTAGTATTTTTAAAGTGGTTGGATTTGTTTCCTGGGGAGACTGGAAGAAGGGCTTTGAGAATTGGAACAAGATTGGAGCATTTTTGGGGAGGAGAACTGCTTGGTCCCTGAATGGGGTGGAGGTGGATAAACATGGTTAGTAGCAGAGTCTGTCTGAGGAGATGAGTCCACATGACCCAAAATGCTGTCTGCTGTGTTCTGGTTCCTTTAGCAAGCGCCTATTACCAGAGCATCTAGCGTGAAGTCAAGGATACTGTGACTCGTTAGGCTCGTTAGTTAACTCGTTAGTTAAGAATTGGCATTGTACTGCTAGTTTGTGAACTCTACCTTTTTTTTTTTTAAGCCTCCATCAGAGACTGATATGATGCCGGAGGGACCATCTTTTCCTGTGGGTAGCACTTTTGTACAAGAACTTTTTCAAGCCCAGTACCGGTATGAGCAGATTGAATATTCTCTCTTATTTTGTCTGCTTGGCATAGTTCTAGGTGGTCTGACTGTGTTTTACCTTTTTGTTTTAAAAGATCTTCTTTGACATGTCCTCACTGTCAGAAACAGAGCAACACTTTTGACCCTTTCCTCTGCATTTCTTTGCCTATTCCTCTACCCCACACAAGGTAAGAACAGATGTTGTAAAATTTAGTGAGAAGTACATTCTCATAATGTACTTTTTCCTTTGCAAGCTCTTATAAGGTCTTATGTATTTTGACAAGTGATAATTTTAATGAAAGCTTGAGTCCAGGCTTTGTTAAACCCTTAAAGAAATGTCTGTTGAGTTTGCAGGAGGATAAGCAGGCACATGAAACAAGAGGCCTGTGCAGTAGTTGGGCTCACCTGGCTATCCATGGGCTGTCGGGAGGAGCAAGGGTTGTTGAGACTTTCTGGAGACCTTGCATTGTATTTTTAATTAGTTGCTTTATTTTCAACTGTTTCTCAAAACTTTCAAGAGTTAGGCCATTTTAAAGAAATACAAAGGACAGAACCATTTTTGTTTCTGTCTAAAGATGTCTTCATTATATTGTATAGTTTTAGTTAGGTTCTAATGAGCTTTTTACATCTGGCTTCTTGGTAAAGGTTGTGGGATAGTTTCAGTTTTTATGCCGGTTTCCTATCAGGTTGGTTTTACTTCTTTTATATTTTAGTTACAATAAGTGACTAATAAGAAGATCTGACTTTGATCTGTACAGGCCTCTCTATGTCACTGTAGTGTATCAAGGGAAATGTTCTCACTGCATGAGGATTGGTGTGGCTGTGCCTCTGTCTGGAACTGTCGCCAGACTTCGGGAAGCAGTGTCTATGGAAACAAAGATCCCCACTGATCAGGTAGTAACCCTGCTAAGACTGAGTATATATGTGCCACAAAAGCATTTCTGTTGCTCTGGAATTTTTACAATTCTTTGCCAGATAATAACTAGATAAAAGTTGAGGTCAGTTGTAATCTAGTGTTGAGGGAAAAGAAGTCAAGACCCAAAGGAATAAAATGTATGGAAAAATTAATCATGTTTAATTTAATTTTTATATTAACATACATGTACATATGTATACATGCATGTGTTGTATATATATAAAATATATATTTAAAATTTCCTTTCCCATCCCTATGAAAGAAAAGCAGAACTTTACCAAGACCCTCTTGTAGCTTTATTTACAAAGCATAACAACTTAATCTTTCTTCAGTCATTCTTGTAGTTGGCTAGGTGGGCCATACAAAGAATATTGCGTTTCTGTGGTATTTGGTAGAAAGGCTTAGAAAGCTCAAGCAGTGACGCTAAAACACTGCTTCCCATTATGGTTATAAGAATAGACATCGTGCCAGTACTCTGTATTCTGTACATAATAGGTGCTCAATGTGTGGTCTTCCCTACCCCCACTATTCTGGGCCTCATGCATTCTGGGCAAGGATGTCCCACTGAGCTACGCACCCTCAGCTCTGTTTCATTTTCTCATTAAAGCTGAATCAGACTCTTCCTTGTCTAGATGAGCAAAAGTTGTGTTCTTGGTTTTTTTAGGGTACTTCTTTGGTAAGTAATTTTGTTTAAATTGATCAAAAATACTTTTGGCCTGTTTGTGACTTAATACATTGTTTTTCAGTACAGTTTCTACTTAGTTCACTATTACTATGTTTTTATTAGGAAAAACATTCTTTAGGATTTACTAAGGAAAGACTAATTTAGTGACTAAATTACATAGCTTCTGGAAGCTACTGTGTAATTATTTGAATAATGAAAGCTCTTATCCTTTGGATTCATATACCCTCATTTGGGAATTACCACAGTAAGAAGTATAACTAGCCATGTTGCCCCAATGTAGTAAATCTCTCATATTTTCATGGGCCAAAAACTGGCACGTTGATGAACTCTTCTTACTCTCAAGAGTTCATTGATTTTTTTTCTCCCCCTTCGAGGTAAGGGGAAAGCCAGAGAGGGAGGAAGACTTTGGTGGGGTCTAAGACAAATCTGGTTTCATCTTTAAAGCCTCAGTGCTGTCTGGCTGTTTTTACATGTGGTTTAAATTGGGGAAATAATTTTAAGTTTGCTTTTGACCTCAACTTGCTGGTGAGAGTGAATTATATTTGCATGTTTGCCAGCAGAAAAACAGCGTGGCCATTAAATTCATTATAAGGGAATGTGCCAGAAACATTTCTCCTGGAACCACTAACCTTTTACCTCATAGCAGCTTGTAGAATGTTAGTGCTGGTAGGAAGCATCTGAGGGGCCAGGAGAGCCCTCCCATCCTATTTGAAGAAGGTCCAAAGAAACCATGCAACTTCTTCAAAGTCACAGGGCTGGTTGGTGGCAGGCTGGGACTGGAACCTCCTCAGACTTCAGTCTAGGGCTGTTTCACTAGACAATGCCACGCATATAATGAAGGTACTAAATGTCTCCATTATTTTTCTCTGCATCTTTTGATGATTGTTTCATTGTCAAAATACTTGACCATTTCACAAATATAATTTAGAAAGTGAAAGAATTAAATATTAAATATCTTAGTATTAAGGCTTGCTGACTTTAATACTTGCTATGTTGTACAGTATTCATTCAGATGTTTTATTATATATACATTATTTTATAAAAATAGATTTATCAATGAATTTTATTTGCCTCTTTTTTTTAAAGTTACTTAGTTCTTTGTTAGTGCAAATGTATGTAGCTTATTCTTTTTAATAGCTTTACAATTCTAGTAGGGCTATATTGTATTTAACTAGTTGCTGTTATTGGATTTTGGAATATATTTCATTTTTTTCCAATACAAATATTTGTGGTTATTTGACATTTTTAACCTAAAAAGAGGGAAATTTAGTGATGAAAGAAAAGTCTTTGAGATATAGTAGAGACTAAACAGTTGTGGGACCTCTGGTGGGTCTCTCTACCTGTCTTCCCTTGTGAAACAAGAGGCTAGAATTTATAATCTCCTACTTCTCTTCTGGAACAAAACTTAAAGGAAATTTGGATTTAGTGCCATAGGAGTCAAAAGTCATGTTGTGATGATAGACAGTTACAGAGGATGTTGTGCTTCTAAAATTTTCTCATTAGCTAAGTGTGGTGGTGTGTGCCTGTAATGCCAGCACTCAGGAGACTGAGGCAGGAGGATTGCTGTGAGTTTGAGGCCAGCCTGGGCTACATAAGTGAGTTGAAGACCGACCCTGCTATATAGTGTGACCCTATCTCAAAAAAACAACAACAACAACAACAACAACAACAACAACAAAAACAAACCCAAAAAACAAAAAAGATTCTCTTACTAGAGGCAAATGTACTGCCACATTCTGATAGTTCAGAGAAGTTCAAAGTAGATTTGGAAGATCATTTCATATTGAATTCCCACTTAAACAACTGTTAACATTTCCCTCATTTTTTTAGATTGTGTTAACAGAAATGTACTATGATGGATTCCATCGTTCATTTTGTGATACAGATGACCTGGAAACAGTCCATGAAAGTGACTGCATTTTTGCCTTTGAGACTCCAGAAATATTTAGGCCTGAAGGAATTCTCAGTCAAAGAGGTAAATAAACACCTGTTTCCATAATAGCACTGGAGTGTATAGGTTTGGCAACTGTCTACCCTTTTAGATACTATATGGTGGTATAAGTCTATTTTAATTGTGGTAAAATGCACATACTAGTGTCTGGATTTTCATTGCCTTTTGTCTGAAACAAGTTTTTCTTGTTTTCAGTAAAACCTCTATTTCTCTTCCTAATGATGGTCTATCTGAACTCCAAATCTGATTTACCTTTATTGAATAACCCCTCAACTGCCTATTTTGTAATGATGTTTGTGATATTTCATAGAGGCCTTACTTCACCAACTTTTTCTCTCCCTACTCATGCAGGTTTTCTTTAAGCTATTTTTGTCTCTGGGTGTGTGTTTTAATATCTCTTTTCTGTTCGCTATATTTTGCTCTTGAACACTATTTTAATACCTTCTAAAAATACCTGTACTGAATTTATACAAAGCAAAGTTGATCTTTTTGTACTACTATCACACTTAAAAATTACTATTGTTTTTTTCTCAAATCCATTTTATTTCAAAGAGGAAAAAAAATAAAACAAAATTTCAAAACACAACAATTAGGGGACAACAATGGTACATACGTACATTGCCATTACCATCACTAAATCAGTTACCCAGATCCCAAGACAATCTGCATTCAGTTATCCCAACAGTACCAGTGCAAACATTTCTCTTCAGTGACCTCAGAGAAATCAGTAGTATAACTGGCTTTTTTTTTTTTTTTTTTTTTTTTTGTGGTACCGGGGATTGAACTCACAACCTTGCACTTGCCAGGCAGGCGCTTATGCCACTGAGCTAAATCCCCAGACCCAGTATAACCATCTTAAACACACACACACACACACACACACACATTTCTTTCAGTTTCTCACACTACTGAGAAAATACGATGTTTACACATGCATATCTGATCTATTTCATTATGAGTATGGCCTCAAGTTGCATCCATTTACTTATAAAAGTCGCAAGTTTGTCATTCTTTATAGCATGAAAATACCACATCCTTTTATCTGTTCCTCAGTCAATGAGTCTTTGTTTTTAGCTATGCAGTTGGGATTTTGTTCATAAAGTATTTGCCTACACCTATGTCTTCAAGAATTTTACCTGTTTTATCTTCCAGTAGATTTATTTTTTGTTTTAATATTTAGATCTTTGATCCATTCTGAATTTAGTTCAGTGCATGGTGAAAGATAAGGGTAAGGGTCCAACTTTAATTTTTGGCAATGCGCAGAACCAGTTTTTCTAGCACCATTTATTAAAGAGGCTGTCTTTCTTCCAGTGAATATGTTTGGCATTTTTGTCAAAGATAAGGTGGCTTAGTGTGTCTGGAGTTGTTTCTGTTTCACTGATCTTCAGGTCTGTTGTTATTATTATTATTTTTTACCAGTATCATCCTGTTTTTATCAAAGTTCCTTTATAGTATACTTTCAATCAGGGATTGTGATGCCCCCTGCCTTGCCTTTTTTGCCCAAGACTATCTTTGCTATTCTAAGTTTCTTGTGGTTCCAGATGAATTTTAGGTTTGTTTTCTCTAATTGTGTGAGATATGCTATTGGAATTTTGATTGGGATTGCATTGAATCTGTATAATAGTTTTCGAAGTATGGTCATTTTCACTAAGTTGGTTCTTCCTACCCAAGAGCATGGGATATCTCTCGTTTTCTAATATCTTCTTCAATCTTTTTTTCAGACTATTGCAGTTTTCAGTGTAGAGGTCTTTTACATCCTTTGTTGGGTTGATTTCTAGTTATTTCATTTTTTTAGATGCTATTGTGAAAGTTGTTGTTTCCCTGATTTCTCTCTCAATGAATGTGTTGTTTGTGTACAGGAAGGCTATTGATTTTTGAGCATTGACTTGATATCCAGCTGTGCTATTGAATTTGCTTGTTAAATCTACCAGTTTTTTAGTGGAGTTTTTGGGGTCTTCTATGTAGAATATCATGTCATCTGCAAATAATAGTTTATCTTCTTCCTTTCCTATCTTTACTGCTTTTATTTCTTTCTCTTGTCTAATTGCTCCAATCAAAGTTTTCAGGACTGTGTTGAATAAGAAGGAGGCAGTGGACACCCTTATCTTGTTCCTGATTTTAGAGAGATAGTTTTCAGTTTAGGATGATGTCAACCATTCGTTTGTCATAGATGGCATTTCTCAGATTGAGATGAAGACCATTTATTCCAGTTTTTTTAAAATCATGAATGGGTGCTGGGTTTTGTTGAAAGCTTTTTTCATATATTGAGATAATTATGATTTTTGTCTTTGGCTCTGTTAATATGATATATTTATTTATTTATGTATGTTGAATCATCCCTTCATCTTTGGGATGAATCACACTTGTTCATGGTATATAATCTTCTTGATGATTTGCTGTATTCTGTTTGCCAGTATCTTACTAAGGATTTTTACATCAGTGTTCATTCAGGAAATTGGCCTATAATTCTCTTTCTTAGTTTGTCCTTTTCCAGTTTGGATAACAGGGTAATACTTGCTTCCAGGAATGAATTTGGGAGTATTGTTTCCCTTTTAATTTCATTAAAGAGTTTAAGAAGCAGTGGTGTTAGATCTTCTCTAAATTTCTTGTAGAATTTAGCCTTGAATCTGTCAAGGTCTGGGCTTTTCTTTGTTGATAGGTGTTTAATTACATCTTTGATTTTGTTGATTGATATTGAGTTATTTAGAATTTTATATCTTCTTGATTCACCTTTTGTAATTCAAATGTATCTAGGAATCTGTCCATTTCTTCTGTATCTTCCATCTTACTAGAATACAAATTTTCACAGTAGCTATAGATGATCTTCCGAATTTCTGCAGGGTCTGTTGTGATTTTACCCTTTTCATTCCTAATTGCATGTATTTGAGTCTCTTTTTTTTTTGATAAGGTTGGCTAAGGGTTTGTCAATTCTATTTAATCTTTCAAAGAATCAAGTCTATATTTCATAGATTCTATTTTTTTTTTTTTTAAGACAAGTTCTCGGTATGCAGTTCAGATTGGCCTTGGGCTCACTTTGTAGCCCACGCTGATGTTGAACTTGCAACAATCTTCCTGCCCAGCATCCTGAGTGCTGGGATTACAGGAGTGTGCTACCACGTCCAACTTGTATTATGTTTTTAGTCTTCAGTGTGTTAATTTCTGCTCTGATCTTTATAATTTCCTCCCTTATATGAGCTTTTGGCTTAGCCTCCTCTTCTTTTTCTAGAAGTTTCAGGTTCATCATTAAGTTGTTTATATGTGCTTGCTTTGTTTTCCTGATATGGGCATTTACTGCTATAAATTTTCCTCTTAAGACTGCTTTCATTGTGTCCCATAAGTTCCTAGTATATTGTATTGTTGTTATCATTCAATTGTAGAAATTGTCTGATTTCTTCTTAATTTCACCTGTGACCTATTGGTTGTAAAGCAGGGTGCTATTTAATTTCTGTTTGTTTCAGACAGTAGATCAGGAGGTAGGGCCACCGAGATTCTCTATTTAGGAAACACAATTAACCTGAAAAAGGGTTTACTGACTGAAAATCAAATATGAGAAAACAATGCTCTATGTGACAGGGAACCAGAGAGTAATAGGGGGGCAAGTTGGAAAGACAGGTTTTGTAGTAAAGGAATACAACTTGAGATCAAGTCTAGGAGTGAGAAGGTTCAGAACCACTTAGGTAAGTAGCAGGTTGACCCCCCAATCTAAAAATTGAGGGAGTTGGTGGGACCCAAAAATGCCCAGTGCACCCTGTGGGAGTGAAAGGGGAGGAATAGTCTAAAAAAAGGCAGAGGATATTCTTAATAGTGTATCAGGATTTAAAACCCACATTACTACACCGCTGTGTTTAGATAGATTATATTCTGTCTCAGTTTGTCTACTTGCACTAGATTTGAGGGGACAGACAGTTTTTCCAAAAATAGCAGGATCTGAAGCCCTGTATAACTTACACTGTTTTACCATGACTGATCTTGGTTGAATCTGATTTGTTAGATTGTTGTTTGGTATCCACAGATTTTATTCAAAACTGTTACAATTGATAGTATCAAGTCTGAGAGTATAGGCAACAACACTGAAGATGACAAGATTCACTAGGATACCCATTCTGGTTTGATTATTACCTGTTTTTGAAGTTTTACACTAGCTACAATGTTTTGTTTTTTTATTAATATTGTTATGTGCTGCTATATTCAATTATACTATGCCTGATGATAAGACAATTCTATTGAAGGTAACAAGAGACAACACAGTAACCATTGTAGAACACCTTGTACTGTGGTTTTATATGACTTTCATTTCATGTTTTTATAGGAATATGTTTTCTTTTGTCTTGCTTTGTTTTGTTTCTCCCTCTAATATAGAAAGGATAGAAATACATGTAGAGACTCATGCATGTATAGAACCTATGAACAGTTTATGAGAACTGATCTTCTAACGCATAATGAAATGAACAACTACCTTGAAGAAAAAGAGACACTACAGTACCCAGTGCTGATCTCATAGTGTCATGATGTGAAATCCAGCAATACTATTATTCTTTGTTCAGAGTGATTTTAGCCTGCTTTGTTTTGTTTAATCTTAACATACATGAAGGTATGGATAACTGTATGTATGTTTAAGTGTATAGGATTGATAACCACATTACTAAGTTTTTGGTGGATAGTTGAACTGTTTGCAGTCTTGTTTGAGTGTCCACTTTGTATGCTTCACTTTAACTTGAACAACTATTTGTAAGAGGACAATATGTAATTATCAACTAATGACTTCTTACTGTTTATCTTTTCTTTGAAATTAAGTATTATTTCTATTCTTTTCCTGTTTTGTTTTTTCTTTCTTTAAATAAAAAAATAATTTCTATGTGTTGAAGTTCTGTGGTTTCTTTTATCATGGATTTCCAGTTTCATTGCACTGTGTCTGATAGTATGCATAGGATAATTTGAATTCCTTTGCATTTACTTAAGCATGTTCTATGGGCTAGTATGTGGTCTATTTTGGAGAACATTCCATGTGCAGTAGAAAAGAATGT